AGTGCTTTCATTCCATTTGGGTGGCCATCCTGCAGTGAAACCTGAGCCAGAGGGCTCACCAGTTTCACATTTGGTGTCAGAAGTGGGATCGTGGCGCCGACACGAAAGTCAACAAGAAAGAAGTGCAAGCAGAGTGAGATGGCTTACAGGAAGTTGAAGAAGACCAACCCCCTGGGTCCAGGTGAGGAAGAGGTCGAAGGAACCATAGGAGGAGAGCAACAGACACAACCTGATGACGACGACAGGCCGCAAGAAGCACTCAACCTTTCAGACCTGTACAGCCTACTGCAACGGTCCATGCGGACGCAGGAGAAAGAGAGGGAGAAACAAGAGCAGCGGTGGCGCAACATTCAAGTTCAACTGGGTAACGTCCGTGATGAGCTGGAGGACCATCGCAGGAGTTCCAGAGGAGGGCAGCAGCAGCAGCAGCCAGATGGAGCAAAGCCAGCAACCCTCCCAGCGGCAGCGACCCTCCCAGCAGCAGCGGCTCATCCAGCGGCAGCGACCCTCCCAGCAGCAGCGGCGCATCCAGCGGCAGCGACCCTAGCCACAGCCTACAGGTGGCCCTTAGCCCAGTGGGCTACATTCCTTGTACCGTACCTGTCTGGCAAAGCTCGGGCTGCATACGTCGCCATGAATCCTTATGAAGCCGGGGACTACTTCAAGGTGAAGAATGCCATCTTAGCCAAATATGAGATAAACGCCGAAAGCTACCGAACACGGTTCAGGGAGCCGAACATTCAATCTGGTGAGACGCAGAAAGAATTCTACAAGCGGCTGAAGGACTTGTACCAAAAATGGATTCGCCCAGCGGAGCACACTGTGGAAGAAATCGGTGAAGTGCTCATTCTGGAACAATTCTTGCGCTCACTCTCCCCGGAGGTAAGAGTGTGGGTCAAAGAGCACAACCCCAGCACAGGCCTGAAGGTCGCAGAGCTCGTGGATAGTTACCTGTCAGCCCGCCGCGGACCGAAGGACTTCAGATTCCAAGGCCCCAACAGAGCACCTCAACCTCCGAAGGGTAAGTCTGTGGGATATGGGAGTGGAGTTGGTCCTGGTCCGGGGAGTGGTACACAGAGTAGGGGCCCAAGCACTAGACATTACATGCCTCAACACCCCTCTCAGCCTAGACCTACTGACACATCCACAACACACAATACACCTGCTAACACACAGGCTGTATGTCATTATTGTGGTAAGCCAGGTCACTGGGCTAGAGTTTGTCCTCTGAAGAAGGTTAGGGGTGCTACTTGCAGTATGGTTTCTGTGCCTAGACCTATGACTGATGCTGTGTATGCTGACAGTGTGCCAGTAATGGGTGTGATTGTGAATGATAAACCGGCAAGGGCTCTCCTGGACACAGGCAGCACCCACACTTTGGTGCAACCTCACCTGGTTCAGCAGCCTGAAGCTTTGACTGGCGAGAAACTGCGAGTAGTGTGTGTGAATGGTGATGTCCATGAATACCCCATAGCACTTGTGTCTGTTAAAGTGCAAGATCAGATGTTCAGGTGAGAAGCCGGGGTTGTTAAAGGCTTGAATTACCCTGTGGTCTTAGGTCAGGATGTGGTGATTCTGCCAGACCTGGTGCAGGCTTCTCTCCCAATGAGTTGCGTTGCAACCAGGGCACAGGCTAAAAAGGCGCAGGAGTTGTTACGTGAAATGCCATACAGTGGAGAAGATTTTGGTTCCCCTGTAAAAATGAGAGACAGGAAGACACGCCGACAGCGTAGGCATGACAAACTAGTTGGCACAGTCAAAGTCATGTCTGGTGAAGAGCTAGCGGCAGTTCCTGATGCAGGGAAGGAGATGTGGCAAGTTTCTGATGATCTATAAAAATTCCAAAACTAAGATGTTTCTCTCAACGAGCT